GTGGACAAAGATATATTAAACCTGGTGTGAATTAAAAAAGGACTAAATGCTAATTTAGCCCATTCCCAAAAAATCTCCAACTCCTTTCAGAACGTTCAGCGTAAGGTAAGGTCAGCCTGCAAAATGTGAGAGACAACTTCCGCTGTGAAAGCAGACTTAGGCTTCTCATTTCTTTTTTTAAACTTAATTATAAGGCAATTTAGCTAGAGTGTAGATTTCCTCCATACATGTTGTTATTCTTAACTTTCCTTAAACTATCATTTTTAAAAGAGACTAATTCTTCATATTCGAGCCTTTCATATTGTGAATAATATCTAAGTATGATGTATGTAGTAGTTTTTAACTTAACAGATATTTGAGGAGGTTTGAGCTACTGCTTACTTGGTAAAACATGCATGTTTCCTGTTACGAAGCAATGCATAAGTTGTACCAAGGAGCCTTACTTGAATTAACTTAAACCGACTTATCTGCCAGGATTTTAATCTTAGAGTTATTTGAAATGATTTATCATATACGCGTAACTTAGTCTTAAATATGAATATTACCAATTGATTAGTTAATTTTAACTATTTATAAATCTTACTCAGCTTCCTCTTAGATTTGTTAAGAGCCTCTTGTTCCTTATAAAATGAATATTTCTCTGTAATACTTTTCGGAATATAATTTATCCAACTCATTAATTACAGCGTCAATTAAGATTTCTGCTAAATTCATTTTGAAAATTATTATATTTGAGATGAATTCACCCTATTCAGTTAATGTAATGCTGGAAGTTTAATTCTACCACAACGATATGATCAGATCTTACGTTTGCAATAAATTTCACATACGCTTGCTTCCAAAAAGTATTTCTCATCCAGGCTAGACTGCAGCTTTGACTTTACAGTGGTATAATACACACCTCATAGTGACTTAAATCTGAGGTTGGGTAGTTCCGTGCATACTATTTACACAGTAACAAATACGCCGTATTGCCACATTCTGTGATGGGACCTTCGATGAAACAAAGTTGTATTTGCTCTAGTGATCAACTACATCCCTTATTTCTCGTTTATAAGTAGATCTTCGAGACTATTGTAGATCAGAAATATGAGATTTATTCAAACAATTTATCGAAAACCTACTTATAAACGAAAAATAAGTACTGCAGTCGATTGCAATAGAAAATACCACTTTGCTCCATCGACAATCTCCTCACAGAATTTGAGATTGAGAATTGACTGTAATTCCTTAAGATTCACATCTGCTCTGTGACCCAAGAGCCTTAGTGGTGGTATGGCGTAGTGTTTAGTGTGTCGAGATTATACACGGCTCTTACATGAAGAAGAAGTTCAAAACATCGCCTCAGCAATCAATAGTAATTATGCAATATTTGGATGACTACTTCGCACTCTGGTTACATAAAAGAAAAAAATTAGACGATTTTCTCATATTTTTGAATGGAATGGTGTAAAGCGTCAAATTTAAAATAGTTGTGCAAAAAAATGGACACTTACCTTTCTTGGATAGACAAGCCATACCCTCCATGAGACTCTCGAGAAACGGTTGTTGCTTAAGAAACTATACGCCGGAATTAATCTTTACTTCCATTTGCACGATACTTACGGAATGAAGATTGGGATACAGAGGAGTATGATCATAAGGAGCCTATGACAAAAATGAGTTCTGAGAAGATAAGCTGAAAAGACTAAATCACATATTTTTCATTTGTAGGTAGAGCTTCGAGCCTACCACCAGCTGTTGGATTTTCCCACTATGATATGAGTAGACCTTACGTTTCCATGGAATTTAACATAGATGTATTCCCATCCAGGGTAGACTGCTGTTACGACTTCGCCTAGGTTTTATCAGCGCCATCAGCGGGATCAAATCATGATGGTGCAGTGTACAATCTCGTCGTGTTGATAAATACGCCACATTGCCTTGACTGGTTCACAGGGCAGAATTGAATTTCAAAGAAGGTCAGACATTTTTCAATAGCCCATTCTGTAGTGGGATTGTCGGTGAAGCCAAGTTATATTTGCTATAGCAACAGATTGCATTAATTATTTTTAGTTTTAAAATAGGCCTTTAAGACTATCAGTAGATCATATATATATACATATATATACGTTGCACCACCATGCTTCGAGTCACACTGAAGGTGCTCATTAAACCTATGTGAGTTCAAAACTACAGTCCAACCTGGATGAAAAGCTTATGTGAAATGCAATGGAAACATAATGACTACTCCTATCATTGTGCGAAAATTCAACCACCAGTCTCTTTATCATCCTAAACGAAATAGGATGAAGACACTTTATATGTAAACTGCAAGAAGTTTAAACAAAAATATCTCGGACAGACGAGAAGGACAAGCAAGACAAGGATCAAAGAACACAAGAGTCTGTGCATAAAAATAGATACGGAAAGATCGGAGATAGATGGAGGCATTGCCCCGACAGGCCACAAAATAGACTGGAGTAAAACAGAAAGACTGGCCTCATATAGGGCGAACACTAGAAATCAGAAGATCAGGAGGACCGTGAAAATTCTCTTCCAAAAAGAAGCCAGATGAACAGGAGATTGCAATCAGACAGAGCCAGCTAGAATTTCGAGTACTTCCTGGGCGCACTTGAAGCTTCAGCGAGAGCAACCAAAGGAAGGCTTTTCAACCGAGGATATCTGTTCAACATCAGGTACAGACAACACTACGAGCAGGAGCATAAGGGTCAAGGGGAAGTAAAGGAAAGATAATAGCAGTGAGATGAATCAAATCCGGGATCAGCTTGATAGGTTGCAGATGTGGGTCTATCTGTGGGATCTGAAATTAAAGACCAGACAAACATTCGGATTTCACACCACTGGGAGTGATAGGTTAAAGACCTAGGTCTTTTTCAAATTCACTTGATTGTGAAAACCGAGCTGAGGGAAAAAATATTAGTTGTTGCCCAAATAGTGTGTGCCTGTAGTAAAAAGTTGTTGATTATGTAGGTTACCAACCCACTTGCACTTATCCAACGGACTGGAATCATAACATTAGGTGGGAATGTCAACATGAAAGCCAAGAGGAGTGTGTTCAGGAGTGAATTGAGGTTCTAAATAAAGCGAGACACAGGTTCTCAGAGAGTGAGAGCGAATAGGATGGGTATGGGAAGGAAGATAGCTGAGTCATGGATATAAAACATAGGGAGGAGAATAAACCTGGGCATAATGATCACTGTTTTTAAAATCCTCGAATATAACAGAAACATAAACCGGAATCGTTGGTTCATATGCAGCCAAAGTTCAGACGGCCAGAAAGGGATTTTTATGTGTAGCAGGGAATAACTCAACAGCGAGATGGAAGGGGGCTAAGTGAAAGTCAGGAGACAAGACCCAGAAGCCTTGAGATGGCACATGAAACCGGTGGCTAAGGTGATTATGGAAGTGGGTTGACCTTGCTTTCGCAACTCGATCTTGTTACCAGGGCGACTTAGTTGGACGCACTTTGTCCGAAGTCCTCTTCTGGTGCTGACTTGCTGATGATGCCGACCACGATGCTGGCGAAGCGTCTGAAAATGTTCTAAGTCCACGGCTTGATGCTGGAAATTAGGATAACTACTAGAGCAGACGACTTCGGACAAGGTCCGTCCAACAAAGTTACCCTGACAGCAAGACCAAATTGCGAAAACGAATTCAATCCATTTCTATACATCCAAATGAGACTGCGGCCATACCGAGAGCCAAACCATCTTGGTCTTCATATCTTTGATTAAATCAAGGTGATTATACTTTTACGACACATTCTTAGGCGATATTGGAGGAAAGGGAGGCACAGAATGGTATGAATAGGTAAATGAGTGAAATGAAGTAGGGTTTAGGGAAATATATGCAGTACTAGAAGTTAAGACAAAAAAATGGAGGCGAAGAGTTTTGTCACAACGATTGAATAAAAGATTGGTGAAGAGGATTGCCTTTATTTGTCACTTTGATAAGTTTTTCCTTTGTTATAGCAATGGCGCCTCTCACTGACGACGCTGAACATGATGCCGGCGAGCGTCTGTGAATATATCAAGTCAAAGGTCTAGTGCTATGAATAATCACGAATACTATTGCAGAGGATGCAATACTAGGGGAGTCCCACAAAGTCTTCCTGTCATTCCGAAAACCAAATTAAACAAATACTATATTTACAAAGTCTAACGCAAAATTGCATTTTGTAGGCACAGAGGACACGAATATATGAACAGGGGTATCCTAGCCTCTTTTAATGTCAAAAATTATTCTCCCTTACCCCAAGAAGCTCAGCAACACGCAAAATAGAAATACTAAAACCTAACCAAATACTGTTTTAATCTCAAGTAAATTAAAGAGGCCCTCTTTGCATCTTTTTTTAGGCTTTTACTGACTACCTTAACAGGAATCCGACAGGCTGCCGAACCCAGTAGGCGAGCTGAATCTCTTTGCCCATCATCCGATTCTTGCATTGCTACCCCCGGCTTCTGCTTATCCTAGCATTATTCTTCCCCAATCCAACCATTAGACTCAAAAACTCCAATGACAATTGCATTTACAATCGTAATGACACTAACAACAATCACCACCCCTGTTCTCACAACAACCACTATATCCAACGTCAACATGTCAAGAAGAGAAGCTTCAATCGAATCGGCCCCATCGCTTCCTACCAGCGTTTACCTCCGCGCACCCTCAACACCTCTAACAGGAGGTTTCTCTCATCTTGAGGAAATACTTTCTCATCCGGATTATCACCTCGTCAACACAAGTGAAGTCGAGGCTTCTGTCAATGGCCTCGAATATATCAACCGAATCCCTCCATCGGCTCCGAGGTCGGCACCAACATCCTGGCCCCCACACCCGAGCATAAAAGAGGCGAGTATTGTCGGCAAAAGTGACAGTCTGGAAGGCCTGCAGATCTCTAGCGAAGAGCCTGGCTTTCGAGAGAATGATAGCCGAGGCATAATGGTCAAACATAAAAATATCTCAAACTCCAGTTGCTGTAGCAGCATGAACAACACAAAGTGGACAGGACTAGAGGAACAAAGTAAGGACAGATCTCATTTTCCCGAGAATGGTAGAAAGGAGAAAGCTAAACAGCACACGAAGGGAATGGAACCTCGTTATGCTGAACCAAAGGAAGATAATGCTTGTTTCCGAGACGAGGTTGGAGACGAAATGAGTC